AAAAACTTCTTGACTGTGAGGGTGACAGAGCATTGGAACAGGTTGCCCAGAGAGGTAGTGGAGTCTCCTTCACTGGAGATATTCAAAACCCGTCTGGATGTGATCCTGGGCAATATGCTTTAGAGGACCCTGCTTGAGCAGGGAGGTTGGACTAGATGATCTCCAGAGGTCCCTTCCAACCTAAACGATTCTGTGATTCTCTGGAGCTTGCCTGGTAGATTTGCACTCAAGTTTCTTATGCTGCTGCTGTCTTAACCAAAGTGATCTCAATTTGTAGAGTAAACTTAGTCCGTAGTAGACACATAACAGGTGTAACCACTAGGATGAAATATCCAGATATCTTTTCCCAAGATTCCACCTCTTTAGTGCTTTTTCTCCACCTCCTTGCCAATGAGGTTCTTAAAGGACTCCGTTAAAAGCAGATTAGGCCCTTTAAAAAGCTGTCAACCTCTTGTTTATCGTTCTGGGCAGTATTTTTGAGGAGGAATGTTTTTAAATTACTTTCTTGTTTTACTTGATATCACTATAACTTCATAATCTTCAGGTAGGGAAGTATATAAATAGTTTTGATTGCTTGATTGTACAGGATTTTCAGTGCTTGCAGGTGCACATATGAGCTTCCAGCAAAGCTGCTCTACTCCACTCCAGTCCTTGCTAGAACTTAATGTATTTGATAGGAGCAAAAATTGTGTGTGATTTTCTTCTTTTGCATTTAGCCCTCTTCATAAATGAGAGAGGGAAGCTATTAATGTACCATATACTCTCTTCTTGATTGTTGATACTGCCACTTTTTTGTGCTTCCCTTTGCTGTTTATTAAATCCTCCAAGACATCATTTCCGCTACTTTCTCTCATAGGCTAAGACACCTGCTTTGGATTTTATCTTGGGAGGAAGATTATTTACTTAGTAATTATTCCTCCCTGATTGATACGCAAAACTTTGCAGTTCAGAGCTTGAGAGTTTAAATGACGACACAATCTTTTATACTAAAACTTGTGTACTACTTTCGGTGTCCATTGTTATTTCAGAGAATTGATTTCTGTTTTGTATATTGGATTTTTAAAATTAGGAATTTGGGGAGGGTTTTTTGGATGGGTGGACATCTAGTTGACCTTGCTTTCGCAGAACTGAGAACTGCTGCTTGTAACTTAGTAGTGTCTATAATTAGACACTTAGTACTGTGTCAACAGTACTAAGCTAGCCGTTATAGAACTTTTCTGAGAATCTTTTAGTTAGAAAAGAGCTCCTGTCTGGCTTGCATTTGAAGTTGCTACTTCAAAAATAGAATTCAGCATGCATTTCAAATCTATTACTCTGGAAACAGCATTAGATATAGTAATATTTTAGTGCATATAAAATATTCAGGGACTCATTTTCTTTTGTTTTCTTTTTAATTGGAATAACAACTTAGTTCTCATAAATTGATGTTGGTGAGTTCTTCTCTAAATTAAGATACTTTATTTTTTAAATTTTCATTCTTTAATTCGGAAATAACATTTCTACCTATATTGATGTAAAAAAAGAGAATGTTCAAAACGGCTTTAGCATTGCTTTATTTTTGCTCCCGCTTACTGATAATTCTACCTTTGCTGAAGTAGTCAGGAATTTCAAGCTAACCTCCAGTAAAATATAATGGTCTTAACCTTTTTTCCTTGCAGTGTTTTCTTCTTCCGTAATGTTGTTCCCATTTAGAAGACAGTGAATTTTAAAAGAACAGAATAAATGGAAGATGAAGCTAATTTAGAAGCTTCTGACTATCAGTTACTTCAGGGAACAAAAGTTCTGTGCAAAGAAGCCTGAAATTATCTTTGCCGTGATCTTTGTGTGTGTTGGAAGTGAAAACCCCATTAGGCTCTAGTCTCAAATTAATGCCAAAATATCCATGAACACGGTCTAGTTCAGGTCTGAGAACAGTGTGTCCAGGGCACAATCAATACCCCTAATAATAAACAAGAATAAACAGGAAGTCACTCGCTGCTGTAAATTTCAGTAAATTTTGGTACTAATCAGCACTGAATAAGTGCCTTTTCTGAATTACTGTTTCTTCACTACTAGGAGAATACTCATTTTAAACTTTCAAGACTGTTTAGGCTGAACGACAATTGTTCTCTGAGATTATTAGCTTTAGTTTTCCACTAGTTCCCCCAATTCAGTGTAATATCTCTAGGAAAGCAAGTGTGGTGAAACACTTTGTATCCAGAGGGATGCACTAAAATTTTTTTTTTGATCCGTCCTAGCAACAATGTGTGGACATTTGGAGTATCTTCAATGTTTTCTAAATGTACCAAGTGTGAAAGCTGGACCAGGTTCAAAGGAAACAAAATTAAATTTCTTCTTTCCCTAACAGATTCGTGTCAAGGCGCCTCTGGAATGCTGTGCTCGAAAGAAGTCTGTTACGCTCTCCTTGAATTCTTTGGCCATCAATCTCTGCCTCTTTAATCTCCCCCTGCCCTCAGCCCTGAAAACTCATTTCATTTATTATGCTATTAATGAATAGTTGTTATTCCGGAAGGTATGGAACATACTGCCTGTGGCAGTAGCGTATGGTCCATCTAAGGCTACCTTCTTTCCTCGTTGACCTGGAGTCTTAAGAGGTCTGCGGAAGTGCATAGTGCCTTGCTTTGCTGCACTCAGATACCTTGAGTGAGATGGTCAGACTAGTCCCAAGGCAGGGCAAGCATAGCTCTCCCTTATCCTGGAAAGAGATTGTGCCTTGAGGTGCTCACATGCTCTGTATTCCTCAGGTTCTCCTTACTCCCCATGATCCAGCCATATCTGTATTTGCCCTGGGGCAGACAGGAGACAGAGAAAAGAAGGAAAAGGAGTGTTGTCAGGAAGAACTGAGGCCAGCGAGCTGGGTTTGGGTGGGGAACTGGAGGCAGCTGGAAGCCGATTTGGGGCTACATTGAGAAGGAGAAGCTGCAGCTACATTTAAACTGAAGCACTAGGAATGTGCTTGAGGAAAAGTATGCTAGGTTGCATATTACATAAAGATTTTACAAATGATACAGTGGCTATTTGCCTGTTACAATGAAAGTCTGAAATATGTTAAAAATAGCACAGACTTTTAGTTCGTTTCAGGTACTTTATAACCTGCCTCAGAAAGTCGGGGGCGGGGGTGGGAGGAGGGGAAGAGATTCTCTAAACTTTACGAACTTTTTTCTTTCTATTTTTTTAAACATCCCTGATATCACATTTCTCATGTTTGAGATAAGCCTGCATGTCAGTTCTTGCAGTATCATCACAGCTTATATAGGCATACTTAGGTTATTTTGTACCCAGTTAACTTATGTAGCAGTAATTTAAGATACAGACTTGGTAGCAGTTGAGCCTGTTGCATATATGACTCTGGCTGCTCATAGCAGCTCTCATACCCGGTCGCTCAGCATGACAAGAAGCCGTTTAGCTTCATCCAGGCATTGCAGGATAGCCCTGATATCCCAGAGCTCCGCCTGCACTGGGTTCTGGAGTGTTTATGGGAAGTCCTGCTCAAGGTGAACTCAGTGGCACCAAGCAACATGGCTGTTGTTTGGTACCCAGTCTAACAAATATAGAGTTGTAGTTTGTCTAGCTTGCTAGATTATAAAATAGGCACAGTTTGAGTGGAAAGAGGAATTCAGTTTTGCTTGTTTGTCATTGAACGAGATGATTATGCTGAAAGTTGCAGGCAATTATTACCTGAAAAATACTAGATCTCAACTGTCAGAAGTTGAAGTCGTTCTCTGCAACATGTGACTTTGCTATTAGCTGGTTGTATGTGTCTTACCAGATTGCATATTGTTTGCTGTAAATGGAATACAGAAAAAAAGAGACTGTCTTGTTCCTTAGGTTGAACTCCCACCTCCAGATCTTGGCCCAAGCTCTGCACTAAATCAAACGCTTACCTTGCTGCGGGAGGTTCTGGCATCTCACGACTCATCTGTTGTTCCGTTGGATGCCCGTCAAGCTGACTTTGTGCAGGTATAAGGATGTTTGACAGCTTAGGAAAAAAAAAAAAGCTAGTCTTGGTACACAAAAGATGGGTGAAACATAAGTCTTTTTTTGTCTACTGCCATTTTGGAGACTTTTCCCAAACCCCGGTTTTTAACACGAATAAGATGGTGACTAACAAAGTGGGTAATTACAGTACAGTATGGAGTGCTAGTCTAACACAGTATCTAAATTCTATTATCCAATTACTACTCCATTAAGTACATACTCCCTGAAGATTGCACAGTTGCCAATTATCTAATGTGGGTTACTCTTCCTCCTGCTAGGTTAGAATCTGTTCTCTCAGGTTTTTGTACTTTACCCATCACTATGGTAGCTGATCACCTGCTGACAAATCCAGTAGAAAACTGCTTTCACAGTTGGAAACTCTCATTTCTCTTTATTCTGCTTTGGGGAATAAATGTGTGATAGAGACAGAATGAGCTGGAAAGCCTCATATTACATGACTCTCCCATCCCACCTTCCCCTTGTCTGTGTTTTCTGTTTTAGGTTCTGTCTTGCGTGCTAGATCCATTATTACAGATGTGTACTATGTCTGCTAGTAATTTAGGGACAGCTGATATGGCAACCTTCATGGTAAATTCGCTTTATATGATGAAGACAACTTTGGCTCTCTTTGAGTTCACTGACAAACGTCTAGAAATGTTACAGTTTCAGGTAAGCATTAACAGCCCAAATAGAAAATGAGCTTTTTCCTGATTTTGCAGGCTGTAAGCTGTTAAATGAGCATACTTATAATATTTGTTTTGCTTCAAGTCTAAATCAAGGGACCGTTAGGATAAGAAGTGTTCTCACCTGGTCTTGGTTGCAATCTCTGTTATCAGAGCTGATGAGGCACAATGTGTTTTATAATTTTATTTAAAAAACACAATTTTATAAAACAACAACGAAAAGATTAGAAGATGGAGTGCTTTTTTTGTTTTTAGTTACAGACAAACTCATATCAGTGAAAATTTCTGTTATCCTAATCATTCTAATACTTGTCTGCAAACTGCATGAGATGAAGCAAATGAAAGTCGAAGGCTCTTAACAGTCAAATAGTTGGCTGTATTCCATCATAGGGGGGTGCTAATATTAGAATACAGCATAGATTAACTTACTATTTCAACGTTCCCTTCTTCCCTTCCTGTCTCATTTGTTTGTTGGTTTCACTTAACATGTCAGGATAATAGTTTATATTTGGTACTATTTTGAAATTGAAATGTAGTTTATAAACCATTGACTTGGGAAGACTTGAGCGCTGCCCATTTATAGGTTTTGCTACATGAACATCTCTGTAATACGTCTCAGGAGAACTTTTGAGGTTAGGGGATTTGGAAGAAAGTCACAACTTCTTATCAGAAGGCGTCAAATAAAGATCAGCCATGAGCTGTCTTTTACCATCTACTCCTAATTAGAATTTCTAGCACTGGTTAACTCTGACACAAAGAAGATCCCCCCCCAACTCTCTCCAGGGGGTCTCAAATCTTCGCTATCACAGCTTTTTTTCCCCCTACATTAACTGTTGTAATTTATTTATTCTTCAAATAAGCAGTAACTGAAGGTTGTACATTTTAAAACTATTTGCTTTCTTCAGCAGTTTTACAAATATAGGAATAGATTGAAAAAAGTCTTAAGATTATACATAAGTAGGTTATTAAAGTGGAGTTAGAATAGCCTATTTAATAAGAACAGCATTCTTTATAGAAAATGTCTCTTGAAGGCATTTTAAATTAAGAAAAAAAGATGCATTTTTCTAAACAAATTCAGGAAGTAAAAACGTGAACTCTAGAATATCAGGTACGTAACTCTTGCGAGAGCTTGATAAATTATAAATTTTTTCTTTTCCTTGAGAAAGAGAAATAAAACAAATGTGAGATAGTTACCTATAAAAATGAAGTAATAATGTATATATTCCCAACTCTTTCTGAGAATACTCAGATTGCTGCAGCTGTGACTGGATTCATTGATTTCTCTGTGAAGTGAAGGTTATACTAAGAATGTAAAATATATTTATGAACGTGATTAGAGATCTTTTCTTTTATAAAAGACATTTTTGTAGGAGGAGATTTAAAGCAAAATTGATAGCTGCAATTTCATTTTCTATTTTGGTAGGTCCTTTCAATTAACGTTTTTTTCAAATACTTGGTTATCAGTATTGAATTCAAAAGATCATGATTTAGTTTGAATTTTATTTTCCTCATGAAAGACTGATTTTTGTTGTTTATAACAAAACTGCCATGCTGCTGCCAATATTTTCAGGAAAATTTCGTTGATTTTTATCACATATTTTCAGTGAATAAATGAACAAAATAAAAATGTATCAATGAACAAAATGCCACAGATAAATTTATAAGATTAGAACTTTGTCGTTCTTAATTTTTAGGGCTCTTGGCTTTACAAATACAAAAAAATTGGTCTCTTTTATTAGCCGTATGTGATAAACGTTAACTTTTTTTTCTGACTTCTCATAATTTGAAACATATAAATGAATGATAAAATAGTTATGCTGTATGTATTTGTAGTATTTCTTTTTTTGGTTATCATTCTCCTTTTCCTGTTTGTGTTTCTAAGATGATAGCTAAACCTTTTCTTTAACCCTATAACTTGTTCTATTTAACATTTACATGCACATTTTATAAACGTCTTATGCTTAAAATTTCAGATTGAAGCTCATTTAGATACACTCATAAATGAACAAGCTTCCTATGTGTTAACTAGAGCTGGTCTAAGTTACATATATAACACTGTGCAACAACATAAACCAGAACAGGTAAGCTGATATAATGTGTATGCTCAGGCGGTACTGCACACCTGCCAGCTATACCAATTTTGGCAGTAATATTTTTGAAAAATAAGTTTCCTGAGCAAAAACTCAGTAGTACTTGCTGATTTGTTTTCACATGGACTACTAGCCAAATGCACCTTCCAAGTACAAATTTCCCCTACATTGCATGTACAGCAAGCCAAGCAGGTTTTGAATATGTCAGTCCTTCTGTGCAGCTGATCTGAGTGCCATCAGCAGGTTCTGTACACTACAGGCATTCTCTGCATTCTCAGAATAACTGTATAGCTGGTTAATATGTCTCAAAACGTGTCTGAGTAAAGTTGACTCTAAAACGCAAGAAGTGAATATGAATACCACCTCCATGACGTTCAGAACATATTGGACCTACTGTGCATACAGCATCCAGGTCTTTCTCATCACGTGTGTTAACACCATACACCAAGTAGCTACCATGGATGCATTAGACAATTACTACTGTGGTTTTTTTGGTTGTTTTTTTTTTTTTTTGTCCTGTGAAAAATTGGCGAATTAATATCAATGAGAAATCATAAGGTCTTATTTTTGTGTGTTTATTCATTGCTCTGGCTGTTCTAGCACCAAGACAGTGAGATTATGAAAGTGACAACATAAGATTTTTTTCAGAATAAGCTGAAAATTGCAATTCCTGCTCTTTTATTTTTGTGAACCACAGTTCTTAGGATAACTTTTCATACACCCCATGTTCTTCCCTTCGCCTACACCTATGTCCTTTCATGGTCATAAAGTTAGTTCTGACTGAAAGTGAAGAAATGTGTCTCTGGAGCAAGCAGTACTGTCTTGGAGAGCTTCATATTTTTTCTTCGGCCAACACTTCTGCATAAATTACTCAAACTCAACAGAGATTTTTAAAGGGAACCATTTTAAGTGCACTAGCTAGCTGATTACAAATTCCACTTGGTTTTCTAGTCATGAATTTATCTCCTATTCTAAAACCAATTTCAAATTCTGCTGTAGCTGAGGGCTCATTGCAGATTGTTTAATAGAGTGTGGATAGACTTTCTGGTAGTATTTTCATTCAAGTCTGTCAAGCTGCCTGGCTGCTGGGATGAGGTTGTTGCGGGATTTACTGTGGTGTTATGCAGCATGTATGCATCATAATGCCATAGGAGTAAAGAAAACTTATTTGCAAGTAGGCTTGAATTCTGCAGTGTCCAGGAGCAGATGATTTAGAAGGAAGTTGCCCTATGTAATTCCACAGTGCTAAAGGAATGTGGAGAACGTTACAGTTCAGTTATTGTCCTGAACCTTGTGGAAGGTTTTTTTCCTGACCTTGTCAGTTAATGGTAAAGAAGAAAGAAAAGGGTCTGAATGGACACACGAAGAACTCGCTGTTGGCTATTTTTAATTTAAGGAAGTGATGGAATACAAACGAACTGTTACAGCATTCCAGTATTGGTGTAGTGATTCAGTTTCCAAACACGTAAAATCCTGGTGGTTTCCTAAATAAGTAGCAATTAGTACTGGACTTACTGTAGCATTGTTTCATGTCATTTTCCATATTTTAATAAATTTTTTTTTCCCTTTGACTACCAACTCTTAGGGTCCTCTTTCAAATTTGCCAAGTCTGGATTCAGTGTCCTTGAAGGCTGCAATGGTAAGCATTTTACAATTTCATATTGTGGTGTTATTGCTGAGACATGGGAAAGAATATTATTAATTTCATGACACAGTAGATACTCATCTAAATTCTTTAGCTAACCTTTAGCTAACTAACCAGTCCTGCTCTTCAAGAATAGCTAAATTACATGTCTAGGAAGACTTTCTTCATTTATAATAGTTTGACTAGTGCAAATAAATAAATATATATATGCACACACACACACACACACACACAAATTATTTATGAACTGGTAGTAATAGAGTATTAGTTTCTAAGCCTTGAGAAACAGAACTTTACTTACAAGAATGTTATCCTGTGAGTCATCGTAAATTGCTAAAAGCAAATACTTAGCTCTAATTAGTTTTAATCACCAAAATTTCTTCTTGCCTGAATGCTTTGAAATATAGGTTCTGCTATCATTTATAATTTTAGTCCTAAGGCTTTAATTTTATGCAAGTAGTTCATCTAAACTTAGAAGTTAGGTGCTGGGCATATGCAGCAGATGTGAGGTTGGTTTTTCATTGGTTTTTTGATTGAAAGCTACAATAGATTTTTAAAACAAATTACCAGCTAATGTTTTTTTTCTTAGAGTGTGCAAGGCTAATTTCCATAAAGATAGCGATCTCTCAGTTCAATAGCCAGCAGCATATTAACTTCCACTCTTTTTGTTAGCCAAATTTAGCTTTATTCAGAAAGCTTAACTGTAAATAAGGCCCCCTCTTCCTGCACACGCACACACTCACAAAGAAGAGAGTTCTAGCCTAAATCTTTTGGTCATCTAGTAAAAATCTTTAGATCACACAGTGGCCTGAATTTTGGCAAGGGGAGAAGGCTGTTTCTTTTTTAATTAATAAATAGGTATTATGAAAAACTGTATACTGCATCACTCCTATTTGTGTCAGAATAGTCGGTTTTCCTCTGTTCAAGTTCTAAACCAGTGAATCCCAGGCCACTAGGATCAACAGAGCACTGAATGCTTTACTCAGATCAGCATAAATTCTTAGAAATATTTATGAATTAAGCACTTAAACTACCTTCCAGTTTTCATAGCCTTGTGGACTAACCAGGAGTTTAAAGGCCGCAGCTTGGGGACCAGCCCTCTAAATTACATACATGTAAATCTTAATTTTACTTGAGTAATTAGAAAAGAATCAAACTTTCTTATTTTCCTCATAGCTTTGCCTAATGTATACTTGTGTGAACACATTTTAACCAGGATGGGACCAGGAGGCCAAAATTAAAACCAAATAAATTCCAGATACCAGTCTAGTCTGTCTTCTTTCTAGGACTCTAACCGTGTAAAGAACTTAGTCAGATTCACTGCCTTACAACTTAACCTGAAAGTTTTCTCAGTCCTTGGCTTTTAAATTGCTCATATGTGCTCAGAAGTGCTGTTCTAGTAAGGTCTTTACTTTTCTCTCAGCTAAGCTCTCCTGCATTCCAAAGGGGCAGATAACCCTGAAAAGCTGTCATGAGAACTATTATTGACTTCACTGGTGATTTGTGCCCACTTCCTGCACACCTAAATGATGATTGGACTTGGATTTTAAATTTGACCAGCTTGAAAAGATTCATCCAGTGAAGCAGAGCAGAAGGATGTCCTGCATGATGCCGTTTGCCATCTTGCAAGTCTCTTACTGAAACTAAGTTGGTAATAAGGAATACAGGAACTACAGGTCCAGGAGGAAAGCCGAGCTGGAAGGAGTCCAGTTCTAGCACCAAGCTGGGAATGGGTCAGCACTGAACTGCTGGAGTCATTGAACCATTTAATAAGTTAGGGTGGAAGGCTCAAAGTAAGCTCACTTAGATGTTAATTTTCTAGGGCCTTGTCTGGTTGAGTATTTCCAAGGGTGGAGATTCCACAGATTTTCTGGGTAATATGTTCAGTTTTTGACAAAGCTCCTGGTGAGAATTTTTACTTTAATATCTAATCAGAATTTTCCTTAGTGTAACTTCTATCAATTGTTCCTCGTGTTTTCACTGTGCACCTCTGGGAAGCAGCTGGCTCCATCTTCTGTAAAATCACCTAGTAGATAGTAGAAGACAGTAGTGACGTTTCGTCCTAGTGCTTTCTTCTCTAAAACTGCTAGAATCAAAGCACTGCAGTATTTTATACCACATTATATGGGGGAGCCTAGTAGCAGTCCAAGGAGCCTGAACTAGGCCCCTTGAGTCAGGAAGAACAAGACCAAGTCCTCACTGGATTATTAAGCAGTCCCTGTGCTCTCAGTAAAAGGTAACATCTACTTTGTGCAGGCTAGGTTGCTATCTGGAGGCTGATGTGTTCCCTTTGCACTGAATAGACTGGGTCAGGTCTTCAGGGGTGCAAACATATATCCATGCTGCACAGAAAACTTGGCTGGTTATGGGGGCTGAATTATTTGTCATTATTCGTGCCCTCCACTTGTACTCGTCAGGATCAGAAACTTGAAACTGTGGTGGCATAAGTGTTGAAGTTAGACGTCTGGTTTGGACTGTTACGTTCTGCCTTGAATATTTTTATGTTGTGTTAGGTTCTATCTTAAATATATAAAAACAGCAAATTCCATCAAATAAGAAGGTGCCATTTTAATGTAATCACTTTCCAGAGATCTGTATTTTTTATCTATCTTCATATACCAGCAAGTTTTTAGTATGTTGATCTCATATTCTCTTTTTTCCCGCCCCTAGGCTCAGTTTGATCGCTATCTGTCTGCTCCAGATAGTCTGTTAATGTCCCAGCTGAATTTCCTTCTGAGTGCCACTGTGAAGTAAGTATCTTAATTCTGAATTTCTATTATGCTTGTATAATAATCAGAAAGATGAATTTGATTAGGTTTTAGTGGATATCATGATAGAGAATTGAAGTTATCAGCTGTAATCACATTTGCATTGTCCTTCAGGTCACAATTCAATTTGTTGAGACTGTCCTCTTTTTGAACAAGCAGTTAGGAATATGTAATTCTGTAACTTTCTGAAGTTGTTACTCCTGATTTAATGGACAGTATCAAAATTAATTGTATTCATCTCTTTTGAACGTATTGCACTGTGTCGGCATTGTTTTTTGTCAACTTAGTTGTAAATTGTTTTAGAACTAATTTATAAGCCTTCCAAAGGGAGATAAAATATGTAATTCTCCACTCAAGTTTTCTTTTATCCCTATTGCTACATCAAGTCTAGAATTTTTCAACTTTGTTGTCTTCCACTGTAGAATATTGACGTTCTTGTCTCATCAAATATTGTGCTGAGATTACTTTATTTTTCACATAATATGGGTTTTTTTAGTGATTTATACTTTGAAGTATGGAAGCGAGGACTTTATTATGTATCACTGCTCTTGTTTTATGAATATATTCTAAAATATGACAGACAAGGGCCAACTGAACCCTAAGGCTAGGGAAAATGCCAAGAATTTCTTTCCAATTAGATACGAACCGTATGAAGTCACTTTGTAGTACTTAAATTCAGAAAATTGTATGCTGCACTGATCAAAAAGTTTTCTTGACATTATTCTTCATGTTTTTGTGAAGAATATAAGTTGCATAACATATGAAAAATTGTGACTAGCACATCATATTTTTGATGTGGCACTACAATGTTTGGAGTCTCATTATCACTATCTGTCCTGCAGTGTCATAAGAAAGTGCTTTTTCACTGTGAGGGTGAACACTGGAACAGGTTGTCCAGAGAGGGTTGTGGAGTCTCCATACCTGGAGATATTTCAAAACCCAACTGCACGTGATCCTGGGCAGCCTGTTTTCCGGTGACCCTGTTTGAGCAGTGGGGTTGGATGATTGATCTCCAGAGGTCCCTTCCAACCTCATCTATTCTGTGATTGTATTACAGTGGAAGCCGTCTTGTGATAAAGAGTTGACCTATGTCAAGGGAAAAAATATTATATGCTGGGAACGTTTAAAAAAGCTGATAATATTTTCTTCTGTTCTCTTACCAATGCGGAGGCTGAAAAAGCCTGGCCTTACCTGGCCTTACATCACAAAATCTCTGTACCTCTGGCAGCAGGGGGGCAATAATAATATTTTAGCATAGACAAATATTATATGCCATTTAATCAGTGAACAACAGTTGTCAAAGCCTCCCTGCCTTGTATCTAACCTATATTCTGAGAAAAGCAGAATGAAGGATAGCTGAGGCCATGCCCGCTACAAGCATTATCAGTCTCGTGGTTTTAGGTGCCTTCTAGTAATTTTTCATTTGGGTTTTTGTAGTCTAATGAGAAACAAAAAAAGTTTAGAGGAAACTCAGCAAGTCTTTTCTGCACAAGTACTCGTTGTTTCTGTGGCTTCTGTGCAAGGTGCAGCTGCACCCAGAGGAAAAGCATCAGCAGCAGAACAGTGTCAGAGGATGACTTTGATAGTCACCATCTCATGGAAACCAGTCAAACATGGGACAGATGGTCCCCCCCAGGGTGTCCTTGCTTGTGCCACGCTGCCTGCGACTCCTGGGGTGGCTGTTACTTGAGTAATGGAGCTAGCATAGGATTAATGTTTCAAGGGTGACATCCCACCAGGTCAGTGGTGTGGCATTCCATAGCAAATCCACTTTTAACGTGAAGTAAAAATACTTTTTAAAATTTTACTGAGAGGGCACCAGACAGTTTGTGTACAAAAATGAACAGTGTATGCATCTCTCATGTATCTGTGATTCCGATACTATTTTCTAGACTCTTTATGTGCCAGTGTCCAGCTAACTTGTTTGATCTTGGCACAAATACATTGTTTTAATCTGCTTGAGTGAAAAGATTTTGAAATACATAGGTGTGGAGGTGTGGCCTGAACAACAGGACAGAAATCATCTGAGTGTGGAGTTTGAAATCCAGACACCAGTTTCTGTTTTCAATACTGTCAGTCCATGGAGCGATGTTAGATAAACCAGATAAGCTTGCTTTTCAGAAGTGCTGAGCACTTGCAGCTTTGGTCATATGTGATCTGCATATAATGGTAGTCTGCAAATGAAATCATTAAACATTCTGCTATTTGAAAAAAGATTGTTATTCAAATACTTTCTGAAGGTTTTTTCAGATGTGTAATAATTACATAAGTGATTACTTGTTGGCCTCGGCTACCAAGTGCCTAAGTTTTTATCTAGTCCACTGGAGTCTTCAGGAGTCAAGTAAATCATGATCAAAGCGTTCGTTATTTGACCTTTTTTTATTTTTAGTTGAGGTTTCAAAGTTGTCTATATTGAAAAACAAATACAAGCTCAGGGATCTGTTAATAATCTTAGCATAGGAATATAAATGTTAGCATTAAGCTGATCCTCAAACCAGTATCACTTTTTAATATGATACTGTCGGTCCATAACACAAGTATATTTCAACTCGGGTTTTCTTCATCCACAAACAGTTTCATACCATATGCCCAGTGCTTCCTTAGCCCGAGTCTATCACGAAGAAATGACTGCGGTGTTACGAGTTGTTGTTTCTTCTCAGCTGTTTGTCGAATCTCTCTGCTGAGGATACTGTTCTCGCAGCTCAGTTAGCAGAAGTGACTCTGTTGTATGAGAATTGTTCTTCCGCTCCAGTACAGATCAACCAGATTAGCTTAAAGAATAATGTAAATGAAGCATTTTAAATTCTGCTTCCAAGTGTCAAGCTATTAAACCTGAATTTTAAATCTTCATCTTTTTCTTAGCGTAGGTATATTTAAAAATCATAGTAACAGTAAACGTATTTTGAAAGCCTCAATTTTTCACTGCTAATGCAGAAGCAATTTTTTAGAGGTAGACTTTATGCTACCATAAAGACTCAGGCACAGAGTGAAATTACTTAGGCTTAATAATTTCTTTCTGTCAGATGAACCAAGATAAACTGGTTATGTATGCACTCATAGCCTTATCCCATTTATGAAGTTTTGAAACCTCTCCTACTGCAGTTTAAGCTGAATTCATGTTATCTTGCAACAGCAGGGAGCCGGGAGGTGAGTGGGAAGCCTATGAGGACAATTAGCATAGCCACTACAGCTCATTTGACACACAGTAATTTATTAACCTGCTGTAACTCAGTGATTTAGATCAGCTTCTAAACAGAATTAAAAATAAAAATTCTGTTAGTCCCTTAGGCATCAAATGTGTAGCGTTAAACACAAGAAATCATGTTAAAGTCGAGATCCATATTTACTTAGGTGCATACTTGTGGAATCTTGGTATTTTCTTTTTACTTGTAGTAAGTAAATATTCAAAATTCCATAGTTTCCCAAAATTCATGGAAAACATTCAACCAGTACTATAATTTTAATCTCTTGTTATAGTAGTTCAGCTTTTCAAGTTAGTTTTACAGTGGTTTGGTGTCATTTTTGAAGACTTCTTCCTGTAAGTCACATAGCTGGAACAGTGGATCACAACTGTTGAGCTGGAGGCCAGCAGTTCTTTAATTCTTAAAATCAGATCATGTGCTTTTGGTAAGGGGCTAGAGTATTTATTACACAATAAAAACTCAGCAGCACTATAATAAAGCTTTATGACCACAAAGAACATTCCCTCCAATATTTGCTAGTGCATGCTGTTATCTTTCAAATTCCTTTGCTCATTTAAGGAATTTTAAACTATATATATACCTAGTTCTTGGTCTCGTAAAGCTCATTTCATTTGTGTTGGATCACAGAAACTACATGCTGAAATTACTTTACTATTTTTAGAAAGTGCTGCAGTTTATGTTAGTGATAAAATTGTATCATGTTGTTATGGCAACTGAGATCCTAATGTACTGATTAATGACACTGACATTATTGGATGGAAAGACTCGGTTGATGCTGTTCAGCTCTCTGGAATATTTCAATAAAGTTTTTCTTTCAGTTTAGTAGTATTTTGTGCAATGCAACTAGTAGGCTTTATATTCCGATGTGCAATGTTTTCTTAAAACACTTTCATGTTACGTAGCTTAACAATTCTAGATTGTGTTCAAAGGCAGTTGTTTACCTGAAAACCTTGAATATATTTTCCATATGTCCATGTTTCTAGATTTGCTATTATAAGGCCAGTCTATTTTCAAGTATTCTAAGTAATATAGAAACACAGCCACTTGATCATGTTTATCCAAAGGCTGGATACTTGGCATTGGAATAAAATGTAATTTTTGTCTCTTAATCTTCTTTATCATATTTTCCATTTCTTAATATTTCCCGAAAACAAAGTTCTACACACTTGGTATTTGAGATTCCATTAACTTGTCGGTTCCCACTCACTGTGCTCGGCATCTGGCAAATTCAGCACTGATTTTAGTGGATGCAATTTTGGTGATTTTGTTTCTTTGCCGCATATTACAGCGGGGCTGAATTGACATTTGTGGTACTTCAATTTCTTGTTTCTCCTGGTGGTCCTTTTGCACAGGTTTGACTGTATAATAATTGTAACTGCTGTTTCTGATAGATAAAAATGCATACGCAGCTGTAAACATATTGCCATGGTGATTAAAGCAAACTGATTCAACAAAGTAAAATAAAAATACTAATTTGTCTTCAAAAAATAATGAACTTTTCTGTGAACGTTAGCTTCAAATCTCTGTGCGTTGTTACTCATTTTGATCCATAGAAATAACAGGATACAGACTTTATAGTATTGTTTGTCAAAGACCATAGTAACTTTTAAATGTTTGACCACTATCATCTTCAGCTTTTCCTGTTCTTTGACAGAGAATGGAATCAGGTGGTGTGAAGATAATATGAATAGAATACGTTTGCTAGTAGAATAAAAAATATATATATTTACAGAGGACAGCCAGCAGCCCCAGGAGGTAGAAGGTAGACCAGTAACATTACCATTCTGTTAAATGGTGCAGGAGAGTACAGGTGAAAAAATACTGTATGCAAATTAAATGTAGTTCTTTTTCCATCCTTTGCAATTTTGTGGCAGAAATAAAGAATCTAATTTCTTGGTTGTCGGGATCATATATCTGAGTTTATGCCTGTACAATACAAAGGGAGGGAAGAGCCTTCTTTTATTGTAAATCTTTAAGCTATTTTCACAGTTGAAGTATAAGGACTTTTTAATCACACTGTCAGTGACTGTCAGTTACTATCAGTGACAATAACATTTTTCCAGTTTTTGCATTTTTCTGTTTCATTTCTTGTGTATAATATAGTTATATTCCCTACAATTTGCAATTTTTTGTTTGCTTTTTAGAGATCAGATAATAAAACAGTCAACGGAACTGGTCTGCAGAGCTTACGGTGAATTATATGCAGCTGTGATGAACCCCTCAAATGAGTATAAGGATCCAGAAACCATACTACACAGAACTCCTCACCAAGTTCAGACGCTCCTTTCATAGTCTTGCTTCCCTCAGAATGATCAGAATCCATAGTACTGTATTTGTTCAGTGTATGCATTATGGTATTTTTCTGTATTGAGTTTTATGTTATAACTATAAACTTAAAATATGTAGGAATGCAGTTTTGCTTAATCTGCTTGACAGAAGTCTAGTCTTTCCTGTGTCTTTGAATACTCTCTATAGGCCGGAAAATAGAATATAGATTAAAAATTATTTTAATGTGTTCCTCTAATGGACATGCACCTTGACAATATGCAATCTCTTTGAAAAAGGGAGTAAAGGAGGAAAAAGCTTTTGCCTTGCTGTAAATAATCCTTTCACTAGGAATTCAACCAGTGTTTCTTATGATCTCATCTTTATTTTTATTTGCCCTTTTCCCTGTTCTTTCATTCTATTGTTCTCAGCCTATCATCAATAAACACTGATACTGTATAATTTCAAGACAACTGATGTACTTTTGAATGTCTTGAGGTACCTCAGTTTTACAGCCCATAAATCATTTTAGAATAGTTGGTGCTGTTTTTGAAATCCTATTGATTAAATCTTTGAGGCAAAATTTGTGTGCTTTTTGTGGGTTTTTTTGATCCATTATCTGTGTCGCTAGTTCTCATACTTTCTATAAGAAAAAGGAATACTTGAACTACATATATGTATGTGATCTGGAACTTAATATTATAAGTAATATTTTTGTAATTTTACTTTACTCAGAAGGGTTTTATTTTAGTGCAGTTCCTCTGCAGGAATCCTTGTATCAATTGAAACTTGCAGATAGAACTCTTAAGGTTGGGTCCAGTTGCAGTGTGGGTTTGGAAGGTGAGTTGCACAGCAGTATGGCCATTCCTGCTTCGCACGTACAGGTTCTTTGTTTTGTTTTTCAAGTACAGAAAAAGATCCATTGCTTTAGCACAAGCATTTATGCAGTTAATAACATACTAAGAGATTTTAGTGGTTTACATGTCTGCAGTAGTGCTCCTAAAAATTATAATTAGGTTCAACTGTGGCATAGGTTGATCTGGGGACTTTGTGGGAGAGCCAGGGTATGTAGTTGTGCCTGGCTGATGTGTAGAGAGCCATGAGTGAAGGTTTTGTTTCTTCCCTCCTTCGGTACAAAGTTGAACATGCTCTGTCTAGAAACTATAATTATATAGAGTTGTAATTCAGGGAACCGTTCCTTCCAGTAAAAGAGGAAAATATATACTAAGTAGGACACTTGTTCTCTGTCACACCTCATGATAATTTTTGTACGTTTCTTAAAGGAAACATAGTCTTCTTTCAGGGAAGTCTTTCACTCCAGAAGACTTCAGGAAAGAAAAAGTTAGTATAAGGAGTTTGGTTTGGTTTGGTTTGGTTTTTGTTTTGTTTTTTAAAGAGAATTTAGGAGAACTTTCTTTGGAAGAAATTGACTTTTTTTCATTTTCTCTGAGTTGTTGTATGAGTGTCACACTGAGAGTTATTAAAATTTTGGAGTTTACACTCGCATTAGCTGTTGCATATTTATGTATGTTAAGGAGGGAGATGAGCAGTCATTCATGGTGAATCAGATACATTTAAATTTAAGATGGATGTTTTTATCAATGCTAATATTCCCCATATAGAGTATATAGTTAAGAGGCAGCCAAATCTGCAGTTTAGTGAATGTTTGCAAAAAGAGCGAGGAGTAGAGAAAAGCAGCAACAATATATTTTTTTATCTCTCGGAAAACTCGTTACACAAGTCATATACAGTTGGTCTCAGAAATCAGCTTTGGTAGTGATACCACTGTAATGCAGTATCTCCCTTCTTAATGGTCATAATTTGTTGGTATAAATAAAATTTGAAAGTTTAAGTGTCCCTGGAGTTCTTGAATCAGACATAAATTCTTTTATAAATTGGAATATTATGTTTGGAGTTATTCCGTTTAGAAACTCCAAATCTATAAGGCAAAAAATTCAGGAAGCTTAGAAGAGCTCCAGTGGAAAATTATGCTCTCCTACTAGGTAAGGCACCTTAAATGTTCAGACTTTGCATTATTGTATTATATATTCAGAAAGCTATTTTATATTGTTTAATAATGTTAATATTGCTTAATATGCTTACAATTATTATCTAATATGTGAAAATTATGTCACTTGTGAAAGGGTTATAGATTAGTTTCCTGCTAACATACTGATAAAAGAGAACCTTTTCCTCAAATTACAGATGAACCTCAGTCTCCAATAATCAGTCAGTAGTTTGCATGAGAATTCATAAAAAGTTGCTTCCTGTCTTTAAGTCCATTTAGAAACTTATCCATGACTTTATCTTCTCCTCTTATTAATAATACAAAAACTATAAAAGTTGTAACTTATAAAAATTAGAATCAATCACTAATTTTGGTCTCTGCAATGGAAGTAAATGACAAAGGGTCACAGATGAGAAAATATGTCAATAAAAGCTTTTGATTTGCTGACTTCTGTCTTCCATGTTATTATTTCCTGTGCTTGCCTTCCTAAGAGGAGGAAGGAAACAGTGATGAGATTTTTGACTTGCTGTTTCTAGTTTAACATTTTGACATCTATATCTTGTAAATACTCTGTATTTCTGCACCAGGAAGAATGAAGCTGCAGTCCTCGAATTGCTCGGTTTTGACCCATAAACGTTGTAGCAGATGGAATCATTCCGGCCATCAGTACTGGGCCCGTATTCAGACTGCTTATCGTAGATCTGACTGGAACATCACAGTGCATAAAGACATACTGGCCGGGCTGGGTTACTCAGCACATCTGCTGTTGGTCCTTAGATACTTTTATGTGGAGAGGCATACCTCCAAAGACCAAATTCATTATCCTGTTTTGAGCAGCAATATGAATGTAGCCAGCCTATTGGAAAACGGGGTAAAGAGATGTTTGAATACTACTTCTAGTATGTAGCTCTCTGCGTTTGGGACTCAGACTGAGTCTAATTCTGAAAGTAGATAACTAAAGGAGTTTTTTTTTTTTGCGTAGTTGTCTGACGCAAAGAGCACTTTCCAGGGAGGTGGGAGAGCTGGGTTCTGGGCCGAAGGAGTTTCTCTGACATCTCCCTCGTCCCTGAAGAGCATCCTAACTCTGGACTGTGGGGTACCCTGAGATGAGGCAGCTCTAGCCGCTGTGCAGAAATTGATGCAAAATACAGGAGGCAAGGGGGAGCAGAGGCAAAGGGCAGTATAAGCAAGGAGGAGTTTGGCTCTGTGGCCTGTACGTGAGGGCTCTCCTAAGGAGTGAAGGTCTAGACCTTCTCCAGTAAGTATTCTCACCTACAGAAGTATTCAGCCGACAGTAAGCTATAGAGTTGAGTTTGAGGTAGATCCAAGGGTGGTTAATCAATACAAGCGGTAATGCCTTTATGTTCAAACTTGTATGTACAATTTTCTCCTTCCTTCTCTTTATAAAAGTACACACTATCACAAAAAACAAAATATAAAAGTTGTTTTAATTAGCAAGCGCACAGAAGCCCAGGCACTATGATTTTTTTTTTCTAGTGTAGAAAAAGAGAAGCCTAAGGAGGTTTGGAAAGATAATAATACATTTCTTTTGCAACGTTTCAGAGTGCTCCTCCCTATTCTGTGAATTATGACTCTAAACCTGCATTCCGTCTCTTCGTACACTCAGTTGTAATTATTTTTATTAAAGTTTTTGAAATAAGTGTTGCGGGGGGAGGGGGGAGGATACTTTCAGAACTGCTAAACTTTTCCGTTCATTTTAAAAACTCTAGCTGCTCTTTAATCCTTTTGCTTGCCTTGCTGAGTCACTTTCCAGTGAACCCAGGGGGTGGGAAGGCTATAAAATTTTGAAAATTACATGAAGGGGTTAGACTTATTTCCATGACTAAAATACACCCTTGTTAGAAGCAGCACAGACATGGGTGTGGGTTTGTTTGAAATCTACTGCCACTTGCTTCTGAGGGAAAAATTCAGGAGAAGAACCATTTGCTTATGATGAGTGCAGTAATACAAAACAGCCGTGGTACGACTGGATACCATACATTGATGCTAAATTGGTGTTACGTTTAAATAGTTGGGAGAATTTTCAAAAAGCAGATTAGAAGAAACTGACAATGGAAGTGAAAGGTGTGTGATAGAACTTAACTCTTTCACATATTGGCTTTACTCCTTAAGAAAACTTTCAGAACCTCTCTATATCTTTTCCCCAGTGCTCTCAAAACATCTCACAATGACAATCCTGCAACTGCTATGCCCATTCTGCCTTTTGGATAACCTGGAATATAATGAGATTCTTTGAGTCATGCAGTGGCTAAGCTGAATTTGACAAAGCTGAATTTGGAACCCAATTTTTTTTTTTCCTGAAAGACTTTTAAAAAATGGGAAGTGAATGTAACTTAAACTTGGATATTTGTCCTGTACGATAGAAAATTCCATATTCCTTCATATGGAATTAGATGAATTTGTTTGTTTGTTTGTTTTTTGACACTGATTTTTATTCCTATTCAAAATGAAAACCCAAATTTTCTGCGGAATCTATGTGCCCTGATGTTATATGTTGATGGGCTGCACCAGAGCTATGCGTCTTAGAAATCCTCGGGAGCTTTTGCTATTGGATAGCTGTAGCTCTGAAGCCTGGGTTCCTGGGCATCCTGTGTTTACAGCAACCCACCAAGAGACTACGAAGGGGCTGGAAGCTTGTACAGGCAAGAGTAATAAAACCAGAGGTCTCCCCAGCAGGCTACTGCATGGGTGATTGGCAAGAGCCAGGCTGGCATTATCAGAATCAAACTACTTCTTCAAAAAGTTTCAGTTTAACCAGTCTGAATGTAAATCTTAATTCATCTGAATGTTTCCAACCATCACTGCCGTTTGTGACATTCTTTCCTTCTTCCAAACCATTTCTTACTTTTTTTATAAGCTCAGATTCTGGGTCATTTTCCAGAATAGGTAAGTGGAACTGAACTATGTTTTAAAGGTGAGTATGTGCTCCTATACCATACTAAATTAGGCATTTGCTGCCCAGCTAGACTGCTTCCTGACTGCCAGTCTAGTGCTCAAGTCAATATTTTCACACTAGCCTAGTGTGTGTGGTTACCAAATATTGAACAGGTGGTCATCACATAAAGGTGGTCTCCTGATTTACCCAGCTATTTACAGTCTTGGGTAGTGAGCCACTCTATGCAGGGATTGTGTGGGAGAAATGAAGTAAAATCAAGACTTTCCTTGCTTCCTTGATCCTTGACTGTCAGATGATGTTGTTCAACTTTAGTAATCTGCCAAATCCTCTGGCATAAAGCTTTGGAAAGACTAAGTGCAAAGGAGCCCTTTGCACCTGAAAATGTGCACTTACGCATAGATGCATTAAGCTTTAAATCAGGTTATGACCCTACCCTTGCTACAAATGTCACACCGGACTTAGCATACAATGGAAAATGAACTACAAAGGCTTAAAAAAAAAAGTTTATTTTCACTACCTTGCTTTAGCAGTAAGAAAACCTTGATCAAGCAAGATCTGGCTTAAAGATGTTTGACAGATTACTGTAGAGTGCCTGACGAAAAAATATTCTGTTGCGTGTTTCATATTCAGACAATGAAGCTTTCATTTGCTGCCTAGTTCACAGATGTGGTATTGTCAAATTGCAGGAAAATGCCTGGCAGACTGTATCATTGACTATATTTAGGGAGAACAAAAAATCAGAACACACTATTTATAGAACCCACATAAATAAGCACAAAGTTCTTATCAGCCAAAGATAACATTAGTCGTGATTTATCAAAGTAATCTTTATTTTATGGAAAATGGATAATAGAGTGTAATTTAATCCTTTGTGAATGTAATGTATATTTCAAAGGCTTCTTTTTTGTCAATAAAACCATTTGTTGTACTTGTTAAACTAATTAGTCTTATTGCTATTGCTTAGGATTGAATAAAAATGCCCATTAATGAAAATGGGGAGCAGAAGACAAGTTCTAGAGTTTGTCAAATATTTTGTATTCCTTGCAAGCCAGAATTCAGATCAAAACAGGTTTTGTGTTTTTTTAGCTGCAAGCCTAATTGAGTTTGTACGCGTAATATATTTTCCTATTTAATTCCAAAATGGATTACCCCCAAGATTCAGCTCATCTCTGGGCAGGGCAGCTACTGCGCAGATCAGGGCCTTCTCTTACTTCCTTGCTAGGGCTGGTAGCATTGGCTCACATGTCTGCGCTCCCCAGACGGAGCCTGACTCCCGTGCCAAGCGCAGGCAGGAAGGGTGACTTTCCTGGCCGCTTCTCACTGCTCTTTGCATTTTTTCCACCATATGCAAACACATTCCAGGAGTCATGGGGAAGGCTAAAAGGGAAGAAAACAGAGCTGCCTCAGTGCTTCCTGCATCAGTCCCTGGCTGTCCCCACAGGTTCGTTGAGCGAGAGTAGGTTTTGCCGGGGCAGAGCACTTAGGCTCGCCTGCCGAAGCTGTGTGGAGTCCTGGCCCTGCGAAAGGCGCTGGCAATGGTGCCAGGCTGGATAGGCAGGACGTGAGCTCATTCGCTGGATCTGAAGTTGACCTTGAAAGAAGAGAGTCAGAAATGGATAAAAGTCAGAAGAGGACACTTTTTTAGTGTTTTTAGTGTCTTTGTTTGTAGCTTAGCAGCCTTGTGAACTTTTAGTAGGAGACCGTGAATGATTTTCAGCAGATGACTCGCCACTTTAGCCTGGCTAAGCTCTTAAAGGTCCTTCTGTCTTAGAAATGGTTCGGTAAGTGCCCTCATTGCCTTAGTTAAGGCAATGTTACAGAGCAAATCCTTAAAGAAAGGCCTTGTTCCTAATGCTTCTACCAGCTCTGATGATCATCCCAGTTGCTTGATTATTTTTATACCCTCTACCGAAGAAACTGTCCAAAGGCTACATTTCTAATGCTGAATTATTGCGTACAAAACTTTCACAGCTCCTTGAATCTTCTGGACACAGAGATGAGCAGAAGCCTCAGCCCCATGGCCCACTATGAGAGAGAGTGGATTCTGCTTTCTGCAAACCTCCCCTCCTTGATCTAGGGACATCTACATACTCCAACAGGAGAGACTT